AGATTATTAGTGTGCCTAATCTAGATTATTAATTGAGTTTAATTAATAAATGTTTCTGACACGTGTGAGTTTAAATAGTTCCAAGGTATTTAAATTATTCTCAGTAATTTATTTTAACCCAGAAGTGTGTATGGGCGCATTTCTGGACTGTTGTTTTAAAATATTGTACACATGTCATTTTCTTTCCTTTTCCTTTTTTTTTTCTTTTTCCTTTTTCTTTCTTTTTCCTTTTCCTTTCTTTTTCCCTTCCTTTCCCGGGCGTCACTCTCCCTCACTCTCTCTCTCACTCTCCCGTGCTCTCTCTCACTCTCTCCCTCTCTCATTTTTGTCACAAATCAAAATGGATCTTGAACCAAGGAATGATTTAAAGAAGTTTTCAACGTCAAGAGAAGGATTCGAGGTAAGATTACTAAAAGAACCTCTCTTGAATTCTAAGTTTTTGAATTTCAAAACTTATTTTTGGTTCAAACCGGATTTTGATGGTTTTTGAGTAAAACTAGAGTAGAAATTGGAGATCTTGGGTTCTTTGGGCTTGTTTTAGGACCTAGAACCTAGATCTAGTGGTTTCCCTTTGAAATATCTCAATTTGGGACTGGATTTGTAGGTTTTGGACTGATTTCCGTGAGCTTCTCTCGCACAGCTGATTCCACCGGTCGACTTGTGCGGTCGACCGGATCACATGGAAACCGGTCGACCAGATTGTAGGCTGACCGGTCAACCGGTCTGGTCGACAGGTGCGCACACTGCCAGTTGACCGGTAGTGTTGCACTGCTCTGTCACCGGTCGTCCGGTTGACACGGGGTTTGACCCTGATTGGCCTGAAATTGCTATTTTGACCCCTGTTTTCGGGGAGGACCCAAATTAGCTTCATTTGGGGACTTGAGATAAATGGATTAGCATTGTTACTCATTGATTTGAGATTGAAAACTCTTGGAATGATAATTTAAAACATGAAAATGGATTAGGGCACACTAATAGGAAATCTTGGTTGGAAATTGAGATTTGGATTGCTTTAGGAATGAAAATTAATCCTAAAGTGTTCTCTTGCATCAGTGATTGCTGAGGATTCAGACTGAAGGGGCTTGAAGAAGCAGAAGCTGGAAAAGGCAACGCTAGTCCCAGATTTGATCGGGCGAGGTAGGAATTCTATCCCTTTTCCTTGTGAGCCTATTTTCAAAAAGGATTTCGGCCTTGAAAATGTTTTAAAGAAAGAGATTGGTTTGCGAAAGAAAAATGTTTTGAAAACCATGGCTTGTTTAGTTTATGGAAATCCATGGCTTGTCCTGTCCATGGAATCCATAGCTTGTTTAGTCATGGAACCTCATGGCTTGTCCAGTCATGGGGCCTACGGCTTAAGTAGTTCGTGGGGTCGTATTAACGATTTCAAAATGTTAATGAATGATTTCTTAAGCAAAGAGATCTTGTGAACTGGTAATAGAGTCTATTGCTGTAAGCCTAGATAAGATGCGGAGAGTGCATCCTCGGGGGCAGAACCCAAAACTCGGTCTGGGTAGGCGATGCACTTGGTTAGGTAAGTAATTTGTACTAATTACTTGCTGAAGCCTGTAATATGGAGATTTTACATTTATTTCCTTTGAGAAAAAGGAAGTGAGGTTCCGGCTGTCTGTTGGAATTGAATGTCTATTCTTTTACATACCCATTTATTCATTTACTTGCACTTGATCTATTTATTTATTTTACATCCTTGCAAATTATATCCTACTGGGCCTTTCGTTCACGTTTTATGTTTTAAATGTATTAAACCCCTCCCAAGAGACTCTAGGAGTGGTGCGGGGTAGCGGAAGATTGCTACTGTTGGATCAAGAGATGATTGAGTTCATCCTTTTGAATAAATGTAAGGAATTGAGAATTCTGTGAACTTACGTAATATTTGAATTTACTAGACTGTGGTTGATGTCTGTTGTAATAATTATTTACATGAGCATGTATGTACGATATTGTATGTCCTGTGGGGTGGAGCCCTGTGTGTCAGAGGCTCTGGGATTATGTAAGTTATTTATATTTTTAATGCAGTTAAGTGTGGGGCCCGGTTGGGAATTTGCTTTATCAATCCCTAATCGAGCTCCACGTCACCCACCCCATTTGGGGGACGTGACAAAGAGTGGTATCAGAGCCCTAGGTTAAGAAACCCCAGGATTGTACATACATGTGTGACATCTGTAATCCACTGAATAGTCTAGTTTTATTTCAGTTGAAGGAAATGGCGCCTCGCCGTAGGTCCGCTAATCAACCGGCACAACAGAATCAGGGATTTCTAGATGCCATGTATGCTGCCTTTCAAGGCATGGCCACAAGGGCTGAAAACGAGCGGCCGGTTGAGGATAGGAAGCAAGGGTACTTCCGGGAATTTAGGCGTGCGCCTATCATTTAATAGTGAGGGAGGACCCCAGGAAGCAGAGTTCTGGTTAGATTCCATAGTCAAGCATTTGAGTACTATGGGAGTTCCAGATGAATACTGGGTGGAATTTGCGGTATACAAGATGGAAGGCTTAGCGAATACTTAGTGGAAACATGTCAAGAGAAGAATAGATGTTACAGGACTAACCTGGGAGCAATTTGAGACACTATTCAATGAGCAGTACTTCCCTCAGAGTTATAGGGAGGAAAAAGTGCTGAAATTCATGTGTTTGCTGTAAGGTGACATGTCTGTAAGGGAGTATGAGGCCAAGTTTAATGACCTGTCCCGGTTCGCGCCATCTCTGGTGGAATCTGAACACCTTAGATGTCTTAAGTTTGAGAAGGGCCTCAAGAACTCTGTGAGGAGACCATTGGTAGCTTTGAGAATCCGGAATTTCTGAGATTTGGTGGCTGCTGCTACTAGAGTAGAGCAGGATAACATAGCTTATCACCAAAGTAAAGAACAAGCTGGAAGAGTTTCAGTTTTTGGCGGACCATTAGCTTCTGGTGGGCCACAGCGGAATGGTAGAAGAAATCGCAACCAGGGACAGCCTGGTGGGGGAATGGTTAGTGGTGGCAGTAGTTTGTCAGGAAGTGACAGAAGTGCTCCATACGGGCCCAGGTGTCACCATTGTGGGCAGGTGGGTCATATTAGGAGGGATTGTCCTAATCGACCGCCGGCTCAACAAGCCCAAAGTGATGCTTCGTACAGTCAAGAAGGGCCACCACCGTACATGCCACCATATCAGCCACAACAGATGCAATACCCTCCTGTGCCGACTTATTGATGAGTGAGTTTTACTCGCTCATTTAGTATCGTTTTAGACTTAATATCTAGTTGGTTTCGAGATTTTTATTAGTTTTTATGTGTGTTTTCATTCTTTGTTTGAAGGATAGGTGGAAGTCTATGATTTGGAAGGTTTTAGACAAATTTTGGTGGAAAAAGACAGCAATCATAGCGCTTAGGCGCCAATCTGTAGCGCCTTGGCGCTGAGTTATACGGAATCAACATATTGGGCAGAACTGGTGGCGTTTTGGCGCCAGTTTGTAGTGCCGTGGCGCTGAAATCTGGCAAAAATTGTGCACTTGGCAGAATGAGCAGTGCTTAGGCACCCATTACAGTGCCGCAGCGCCCAGGGGTTTGACACAACAGTGTCGCAGCGCTACGACGTGAGAAATTACGCGTTTTGAAGGCCAATCGCGAGAAAACTTACCCGTTTTGACCCTAATGCTCTGAAACATATAAATAGATGATTCTAGGGCAATTAGAGGGGACTTTTAGACTATGGAATGATGGCTGGCTTTTGAGAGAAGATTCAAGAGAAGAAAAAGAGAATTGGGACGGAGAAGAAGAACGGCTCAAATCCAGAGATGGAGTCGCTTCAATTCAACTCCAAACTAGTTCTTTTCTTTCCTTTCCAATGATTAAGACTTTGTTTAGGAATTTATTTTTTTTAGAGATGAACTAATTCCTTTTTCTAGGGCTACGATGTAGCCGGATTATGAGTGTTTGAATTCTCAATTTTCTTTTTAAGTAATTGATGTTTAATCCATATATGCTGAGTATTTCAATTTATTCTTAATGCTTGTGATTGTTTGGCCAACTATTACATGATTTTGTATTTGATTTGAGACTAAGAGGTGATAATTGAATAAGCTCTTAATTGAAATACCATGAGTTGTTCATAGGATAGAGATATCTATGATGCTTGTGCAGTTCTTTTGAATTTCTTGCACTTAATGATTTTCAACAGGTTTAGAAGTCTGACAGAGATGTAGATTTTACTTGTTGGATTAATATTATTGTTGCTTGAGAAAGAATAATAATTGCTTTAGAGAAATTGCTGTCAGTATAGGATTGAATGTTAATTTTCTTGAATTATGAGAATTTGAACATGATTAATTTGGTGAAATCAGAAACCCTAGAATCTTAATCTATTGAATTTTCATCCATTGCTTAGCATTGTTGAATTTATTTAATTGTTTTAGTTTTGCTTTACTTAATTTTATAAACTCTCTTTTCAAATATTCAAATAAAATTGGGGTTAATACAATTTCGGTAATTAGTAAACAACAATCCTCGTGGGATGATATTCTTATTCACTATTATATTACTTGATTGCGATAGCGTATACTTGCGTTACGATTTTTCACAACAAGTTTTTGGCACCGTTGCCGGGGATTGTTTTGTTTTTACTAATATCGATACCAAATAACTCTAGTTTTACTTTGGATTTTATTTTGTTATTTATTTTATTGTTCTTGTTTTGTGTTCTGCAGGAATTTACTCTACATGCATGCGAAAGTTTGGGAGTAGTATTCTACTTCCTCTTGATTCAGAAATTGAGCATACTTCTCGAAGAAATAGAAAAGAGAAGAGAGAAACTGTCATTCTGTCGGAAGAAACTATGGCTGATCCTGAAGGGGCATGGAATGAGAACAACAATAACATACCACTGAACAATCCACCGGTGGTCAATCAGCCAATTGCTTTGTGAGATTATGCATTGCCACCAACTGGCGTTCAATCAGTGATAAGGAGGCCGGCTATTCAGGCAAATAATTTTGAATTGAAGCTGGTAATGTTGCAAATGATTCAAGCGATCCAATTTAATGGATTGCCTAATGAAGATCCTAATGCTCACATCACAAATTTTCTGGAGATTTGCGATACTGCCAAATACAATGGAGTCAATGATGAAGCTCTTCGCCTTCGTTTGTTTCCTTTCTCTTTGAGAGATAAAGCAAAAAATTGGTTGAACTCACTGCCGCCAAATTCGATCACTAGTTGGGAAGACTTAGTTCAGAAGTTCCTTTCTAAGTTTTTCCCACCGGCTAAAACAGCGAAGATGCACATCGAGATCAATAATTTTGCTCAATATGAAAGTGAAACTCTATATGAAGCATGGGAGAGATACAAGGAGCTGCTGAGAAGATGTCCTCATTATGGTCTACCTAAATGGAGGCAAGTCCATAATTTTTATAATGGATTGAGTGGCACTACAAGAACTCTAATTGATGCATCTGCAGGAGGAGCGTTAATGAAGAAAACTGAAGATGAGGCATATGAGTTGCTAGAAGATATGGCAACCAATAATTACCAGTGGCCTAGTGAAAGAAGCATACCAAAGAAGACAGCCGGACTACATGAAGTTGATGCCATCACTAATTTGACTGCCCAAATTGCTTCTCGGTCCAAACAATTACAGAGTACTCAATTGACAGCCAATGCCATCCAAACATCCTCTCCAGTGTGTGAGTTTTGCAGCGAATCTCACCAAAGTTCTGAGTGTCAAGCGGACAACCCATTTGCACAGGTACAAATGGAGCAGGCTCAATACGTGGGGAATTACACTAGGCAACAGAACAATCCGTACTCTAACAGGTTTAATCAAGGATGGCGTAATCACCCAAACTTGTCTTGGAGAAACAATCAAAATGTGTTGCAGCCCGTACAGAGCAACCCGCCACAAGAGAAGAAGGTGAATCTGGAAGAGGCAATGGCTCAATTGGCTACCTCTCATACACAATTCATGAATGAAACCAGGACAAATTTCCAGAATCAATCGGCTCAGATCAGAAGTTTAGAGGTACAAATCAGTCAAATGGCTAACATGTTTTCTGAGAGGCAACAGGGAAATTTGCCTAGCACTTCTGAAGTGAATCCAAAAAGAGATGGGAAAGAGAATTGCAAAGCAGATACCTTGAGAAGTGGTAAAGAATTAGAAGCTCTGGTGAGAATTGAAAAGCTTGACAAAGATGAGAAAAGGGTGTCGTCTCAAACACAAGAGGCTACAAAAAAATATATTGAAGTTAAGGCAGAAAATCAAGCACAACCTCCTCAAGAACCATCTCTCTGAGTTCCTTTTCCTCAACGCCTGAAGAAAAAAAAAATAGATCAACAGTTTGCTAAATTCATCAATGTATTCAAGAAACTTCACATCAATATCCCATTCGCTGAAGCTCTAGAACAAATGCCGAGTTATGTGAAGTTTATGAAAGACTTCTTGTCAAACAAGAGGAAACTTGAGGACTATGAAACAGTTGCACTTACTGAAGAGTGTAGTGCCATTTTACAAAGGAAGTTGCCCCAGAAGCTTAAAGATCCTGGGAGTTTCACCATCCCTTGTTCAGTTGGGAATGCTGTGTTCGAGAAGGCATTATGTGACTTAGGTGCAAGCATCAACTTAATGCCTTTATCTATCTTTCAAAAGTTGGGTTTAGGTGAAGCAAGACCTACCACAGTGACACTACAATTGGTAGATCGCTCTATCAAGCACCTTAGAGGAGTAATTGGGGATGTGCTCGTTAAAGTTAACAAGTTTATCTTCCTTGCAGATTTCATAGTTCTTGACATGGAGGAAGATAAAGAAATACCTATCATACTTGGAAGACCATTTCTAGCGACAGGGAGAGCACTCATTGATGTTCAAAAGGGTGAACTGTGCCTTCGGGTACAAGAAGAAGAGGTAATTTTTAATGTCTTCAATGCTATAAAATACCCAGAAGCAAGTGATAGTTGCTTTCGGATCGATGAAGTGGAAGCTATAGTGTCTAACCATGTGGATCAATCAGATCCCTTGGAGGCTAGCTTACTGCAAAGCGATTCTTCGATCATGGAGGATGAGGAGGTGATAGAGTATTTATGGTGGATGGATTCCATTGAGCTAAAGAGAAGGAAATACTTTGAAGCTCTGGGACAAAGCTCTTCACATCCTATGCGATCAATTGAAAAGCTGCCGAATCTCGAACTAAAACCATCACCGGCATATCTTCGTTATGCATATCTTGGTGAATCATCAACTTTACCGGTAATCATTTCCTTGATACTCTCTCAAGAAGAAGAAGATAAGTTATTAAGAGTGCTGAGGGACCACAAGTTTGCAATTGGGTGGTCTTTGGCAGATATTAAGGGAATTCGCCCATCTATGTGTATGCATCGTATGCTGTTGGAAGACAACATCAAACCATCAGTGGAAGCCCAATGAAGACTTAATCCAACCATGAAAGAGGTGGTGCGAAAAGAAGTGTTAAAATGGTTAGATGCAGGAGTGATTTACCCAATCTCAGATAGCTCATGGGTGAGTCCAGTGCAAGTAGTGCCCAAAAAAAGAGGAATGACGGTAGTGAAGAATGAAAATAATGAGCTTATCCCTACAAGAACTATTACAGGATGGAGAATCTGCATTAATTACAGGAAGTTAAATAAAGCCACACGAAAGAATCATTTTCCTTTACCTTTTATTGATCAAATGTTATATCGGTTAGCGGGCCATGAGTACTACTGTTTTCTAGATGGCTACTCCGGACACAATCAAATAGCCATATCCCCAGAAGACCAAGAGAAAACTACATTTACATATCCCTATGGCACTTTTACTTTCCGAAGAATGCCGTTTGGATTATGCAACGCTCCTGGCACTTTTCAAAGGTGTATGATGGCTATTTTCTCAGACATGGTGGAGTGGATAATTAAGGTATTTATGAATGACTTTTCTGTCGTTGGAAATTCATTTGATGATTGCCTTGATAATCTTAAACAGGTGCTAATCCGATGTGAAGAAACTAACTTAGTTTTAAATTGGGAGAAATGTCATTTTATGGTGCGTGAAGGCATAGTTTTGGGCCACCGGATTTCTTCCAAAGGCATTGAGGTTGATCGAGCTAAGATCGAGACAATAGAAAAGTTACCACCACCAACATCAGTAAAAGGGATAAGGAGTTTTTTGGGTCACGCGGGCTTCTACAGAAGATTTATCAAGGACTTTTCTAAGATCTCCAAGCCACTCTCAAGTCTCCTGATGCAAGGTACTTCTTTTGTTTTCAGTGAAGAGTGTCAATGGGCTTTCTCTAATCTCAAAGAGAAACTTGTGTCTGCACCTATTGTTGTAACTCCAGACTGGGAGTTGCCATTTGAATTGATGTGCGATGCAAGTGATTATGCGGTAGGGGCTATTCTTGGGCAACGTAAGAATAAGGTGTTTCATGCTATCTACTACACCAGTCGCACTCTCAATGATGCCCAACTTAATTATGCAACCACAGAGAAGGAATTATTGGCAATTGTGTTCGCCTTCGACAAGTTTCAGCCTTATTGAATCGGCAATAAGGTAATTGTTTTCATAGATCATTCTGCAATTAAGTACCTTATGACCAAGAAGGATGCTAAACCGAGACTCATCCAATGGGTGCTGTTATTACAAGAATTTGACTTGGAGATAAGAGATAAAAAAGGAACAGAAAATCTCATGGCGGATTACCTCTCTAGACTTGAATTACCGAAGGAAGAAGAAATGAAAAAGCCTCCAATTGATGATAAATTTCCTGATGAGCAACTATTCACTATTTCCTTTACAAAGCTGCTACCTTGGTATGCCGATATTGTGAACTACCTTGCAGCCAAAATTGTACCTCCGGAGTTTTCTTATCAACAAAAGAAGAAGTTCTTCTCCAATGTCAAGCATTATTATTGGGAGGAACCAGTGCTTTATAAACATTGCGCAGATCAAATTATTCAGAGATGTGTCCCGGAAGAAGAGATGGAGGATATCCTAAGGCATTGCCATACACTTGAGTGTGGAGGCCATATTGGGGGAAATCGAACTGCCGCTAAAGTTCTCCAATCGGGATTCTATTGGCCAAGCTTGTTTAAGGATGCTTATGCTTTCGTGACGGTGTGTGATAGATGCCAAAGAACGGGGAATATTTCTAGGAGGAATGAAATGCCACTGCAAACTATTCTAGAAGTGGAGTTATTCGACGTATGGGGAATTGGCTTTATGGGCCCGTTTCCTTCATCTTATAACAACAAGTATATTCTTTTAGCAGTGGATTATGTTTCCAAATGGGTGGAGGCATCGGCAACTCCAACAAATGATGGCAAGGTGGTGCTGAATTTTCTCCGGAAAAATATTTTCACTCGATTCGGGACTCCAAGGGCTATAATTAGTATTGAGGGATCTCACTTCTGCAACAAACTATTTGAAGCTCTACTGGCAAAATATGGAGTCAAACATCGAACTGCGCTAGCATATCACCCTAAAATGAATGGCCAAGCTGAGATATCAAATAGAGAGGTGAAGCTAATTCTAGAGAAGACTGTTCAAAGATCCAGGAAGGATTGGGCAAGGAAGCTTGATGACGCACTCTGGGCTTGTCGGACGGCATTCAAAACGCCAATAGGGATGTCTCCGTATAGGTTAGTTTATGGAAAAGCATGTCACCTTCCAGTCAAATTGGAGCATAAAGCATATTGGGCCATGAAGCAGTTGAATCTGGACATGTAAGTGGCTGGTGAAAAGAGACTTCTGCAGATTAACGAGATGGAGGAGTTCCGAAATGATGCATATGAGAATGCCAGGATTTACAAGGAGCGAACAAAGGCTTGGCATGACAAGCACATTTCAAGACGAGAGTTCAAGCCGGGCCAACAAGTGTTGCTATATAATTCAAGGCTGCGCTTATTTCCAGGAAAGCTCAAGTCCAGATGGTCAGGGCCATTTACAGTGGTGAAAGTATTTCCCTATGGAGCAGTTGAAGTCACTCATGATGAAAAGAGAACGTTCAAGGTCAACGGACAACGTTTGAAGCAATATATAAATGGTGGCTCTGATCAAAAGAAGACCAACATTCTCCTGAACTCACCATGAGAAGCAAGACGTCAGGCTGGTGACATTAAACCAAGCGCTTCTCGGGAGGCAACCCGAGCCTTCTAACATCTGTTATTTATTTATTTATTTTTATTTATTATCATTATTTTCATTATTTTCAGTTACTTATTGGGTGTTAAATTGATTGATAGGTTAATGAACAAGTTTGGGGGTTGCTCTAAGGATTTACAATTGAAATGAAGCTCAAGAAGGAATGAAAGCACATATTTGGCAGCAGCAGTGGCGTTTAGGCACCCATCTGAGCGTTTTGGCACCCAAAATAGAGTGTTTCACTTAAAAGAGACAGAGCACGTAGTGCCTTGGTGCTACGTTTGAGCGCCTAGGCGCTACCCCGAAAAAAAAAATGTTTCACTTAAAAGAAACAGAGTATTTAGCGCCTAGGCGCCACATTTGAGCGCCTAGGTGCTACCCAAAAAAAAAAAAAGACGACAATAAGCAGAGGTAGCGCCGCAACGCTGAGAAGTAGCGCCATAGCGCCACGTCAGGAGGGCACACTTAAAACACGCCCAAACACTCATTTTCTTTCATAACCCTTCCAAAACTCAGGCCAAAACACACACCACCATCCCCAAAACACCACCCTCACTCTGAAATTTCTTCCAACATTCTCAAATCCACCTCTAGCTGCTCTCCCTTTGATCTATTCTCATTGAATCCAAGAACTGCATGAGCTAGGATAAGCACAAACCGTGGGGTCTTGAATGCCGGGGTGGTCCTCCATCCAAAAAAAGGTTAGTTCTTGATTCCCTGTGTCGTTTTGAGAATTGGTTGTTGAATTGATATGGAATGAGAGGATTATCTAAGAGTGTTGAAAAATTCGGGGGAAGTGAGGTGTTTTAGCAAAAGAAACATGAGATTTGCTATCTTGCACGCTAGGTGTTTGTCAAAAGTCCTGAGAGGACGTTCTTTTTAGTGTTTTTGGGTGTTGCTTCGAAAAAGGGACATTAGTCTGAACGTGGTTCGTAGCTGGCATATACATTACCTAATTTTGAAGGCTTCCAAGCGTTTGTGCACTTCAAATCCGGAAGCTTCATCTTCGAAGAAGGAAAAATTTGACAAAGTCAAATTTATAAGTTTTGAAGCGTTAGAGAGGTATAAGCAATCCGTGGTAACAAAAAATTGTGTTCCAGAGAGAGGGATTAACTGCCCCGGTACGCTTATGAATGATTGAGGGCCGCAATTGACAAGAGTTTGTAAAGCAACCAAAGGCAGCACTAGTACCAGTAGTTCAAGAATTCTATGCCAATGCGAAGGAACATAGAAACAAGAGAGTATATGTTCGCGGTAAATGGGTGTCCTTCGATAGTGCGACTATCAACAGGTACTATAAACTGCCCGATATAGAGGATGATGAGTACATTCAATATCGACAGGAACCGGACACAGAAGAGATTATTCGGTACTTGACAAGTTCGCGTGTAAGCTGGAAGACATCTACCACAGATGTTATCAACTTCTCTTCATCCGGGCTAGCCCATGAGGCAAAGGCATGGCACTATTTCATATCTGCCAAATTGCTTTTGAGCAATAATTTTTCTGAGGTGACAAAGGAGCATGCGATTTTCAATTATGCTATTTTCATGGACTTTAGCATAGATGTGGGGAAGATCATTGAGAAGTCCATTCTTGATACGATCCAAGGGAAAACAACAGGGGAACTTGGACATCCATCATTGATTTATGATTTGTATTACCAAGTCAGAATTCCAATGATCCCAGATGAAGAAATTCAGCACCCAAAGGCGGTCATAACTCAGAAGAAAATGGAGGGTTACAAGTCTAATGAGCAAAGACCCACTATAGCTCCAATTGCACCACTACAGGGCCCTAGTTCTTCTGGACAACCGAATACTTCGCCAACGGAACTGAATGAGCTGAGGCATTGCATAGACCAATTGCAACTCAGGGCGCACGAACAACAACAGTGGCGGGAGAGAGTTGATCAACATTTGGGCCAAAGTTAATATAATCAAGATCAAATTGCTGCAAGACAAGATGTGCAGTTTGATTACCTGGCACAGTTTACTACAAGTTTGGGGGAAATGTTTTCCAATTGTGCACTTAACTTGGGACCTAATGGAATTGTTTTTCCTTAACCTCCGACTCTGCCGCTATACACTCCAGCCAGACGCCACCGTCCTACCCCCGCACATTCTGCACCTCCTCCTGATGACAATGAAGACAATGATTGACAAGTTCTCTGGGAAGTCCTTTACCTCTCTTGTTTTACTTAGCCATTGAGGACAATGTCAGTTTCAAGTTTGGGGTAGTTAACTATCTTATTTTATGTCATTTAATTCAAAAAACTTGAGCTTTGG